AGGATAGGGAGCTTTGTTTAATGGATAGTTTCACTTGCAAATAAAAGGATTCTGGAGACTGGTTGTTCAGCAAAATGAATGTACTTAACATTATTGAACTGTTTATTTAAAAATTAAAATGGTGTATTTTATCTTCTATGTTTTTATTACAATTTAAAAAAAATTAAAAGGTGAGAAAAAATTGCATTTGTGATGTTAAAACTGTCAGACTCCTAGGAATAAATTTGTCAGAAGATTTACAAATATCTAAAATCTACAAAACATCATAGGAGAAGTTAGTAGATGCCTAAGTAAATGAAGGGGTATACTCTATTTACAGAGGACTCAAAGTTCTAAAATTTTAGATCTTTTCAAATTGTCTTCATAATTAATGTAATTTATGATGAAATAGTAGTGGTTTGATTTTTTTTGTTGTTGTTATAATTTCTGTTGTTTTGGGGGGAAATGAACTGCTTAGGCATTCTTGAAGAGGAACAGAGTCCGGGGATTTATAGTGTTTATATTGTCAATCAGCAAGATCTGTTATAAAATACTATTTCAGATAGTGGGTCTCAGCTTGGGATCCCTTGAAGCTCAGCAACGTTACCTGGGAACTTCTTAAGTTGGGATGGCTGTGGCTCTGTTTGAGAGTTTCCCAGATCAGAGCCTTTGGGCCGGAGCAAAGATTCTGTTTCAGTGTGTGTTCTGGGCTGGTTTTAAAACTTCAGAAACGTTGAATCAAGGTGCTTTGACAAAAGGAAATACAAACCTATCAGTGGAACAGACATTCCAGAAACAGATGCACACATTTACAGTTTACCAGATTTATGACAAAGGTGGTACTGTGGGTCAGTGGAAAGGGTAAGCTTTTCAGTGAATGTACTAGATCATTGTTAAACTCCAAATGGAGAACAGCCCTCCTAACCCCCATATCATGCTACATAAATAATCAGTTCTAGAAAGGTTTCCTATGTAAAAGTATAAAGCAAAATTATAAAGGTTTTAGAACAAAAATATAAGATACTATTAATATGTAGCACTTAGACTAGTGCTTGGCTAGCACATAATGTGTCTTATATAAATGTCAATGTAAACTAGTATAACCACTATGGAAATTAGTATGGAGATTCCTCAAAAACTACAAATAGAAATTCCATTTAGCCCAGTTTCTCCCTTTCTAGGGATCTCCCTGAAAGAGTTAAAAGCATTGCTTAGCCATATTTATAGTAGCAAAATTCATAGTAGCTAAATCTTGGAAGTAGCCTGTATGACTATCAATGAATGGGTAAAGAACATGTATTTACACTGCCATAAAGAAAGATAGGCCTGGGGAGATAGCTCAGTAGAATAAGCGCTTGCCTGGCAAGTGCAGGGTCCTGAGTTCAATCCCCAGTTCCATTAAAAAAAAAAAAAAAGACAGGTAAACTTCAGTCACTTGTAAAAAATAGATTCACTTACAGATCATAATGGCATGAAACAAGGAAATGTATGCATGCATGTGCGTGTTTGTAGCTTCTCTCCTTCAATGGCCGCCTAGACTCAAGCTTGGAGGCGCTAGTCTAATGGGTGTATCTAATCCTAATCACTTCCTAAATGTCCACCTCTAAACACCATAGTCAGAAAAAATTTCTTTGCTCTTAATACTTTACATTGGAGGTGAAATGCCAGTACTTAAAGCCTGGCACACACTCAAGCCGTACCATGAACAGTTTGCCCTGAGTGTCTCTTGGGCTATGTGCCCCTAGAAGTGTGACTCTCGGTGGCAGTCTGTGCCTTTGCTCTGTTTCCCAGCTGCCCTGCAGTGAGCAGCTTTGCCCCGCTGTGCCCTTCTGCCTTGGAGCAGCCAGCCATGGACCGACACCTCTAACACTATCAGCGGAAATGTGCCTCGCCTCCATTATATTGTAGGTGAAGGTATTTTGTCCCAGTAAAAAGCTGGCCAAGACAGCACGTTAGACTGGTGTTTTCCTCATAGGATTGTTTGCTGAAGTTTTGGACTGAAAGTTTTTAAAAATATGATTTTCTTCATAAGTCAGTGGAGGATATATAAAACACGTTTACTTTTCTTTTTCATTATCTAATGTTCCATATTAGGATTTGTTCTTATCTCATGGCAGCAGTGTTTTGTACAATCTACTAAATATAGCCTATCTACTCCCTTTCAGAAAGACTGTCTCAAGTCTGTCTCCTAGCCAACAGATATAAGATATGTTACATTCTTCCATGATATCATTATCCAGTCAGTTCCCTTCTTGAAAGCCTTTCAGAGGTCTGTTTGCCAAGCTGCATTTTACCTTCAGGGTGTAGTGACAATGTTTTGCTTGACATTCATGTGAAAGTATCAGGCAAACCTCTTATTTTCAAGCCAGTGTAGACAGCAGTGTGGCTTTGTTTTTTTCTTTTCTTTTTTATTAATTTTATTGAGAAACAAATAGTAGTGAGATCGTTTCAAAACCAATTAGTAGGACAGTTTCAATAATTAATACGTTGCATATTGTTGTCTTTGTAGGGCTTTGTCTTTTTCTAAGGAGAACATTTCATTCTTTCAGTGTGCAGATGTTTCAGACAAGTTTTTTTCTTTTCTTTTTTCCTATGCTGGGTATTGAACCCAGGGCTGTATGAACGCTGGGCCAGAGCTCTGCCCCTGAGCTGCAGTGCCCATGGTCATCTGCTGGACACTGGACTGTAGCTCTGATGGCATGTGCCTTGAGCCAGTCTGTGCTCTGCAGTGTTCTTGCTGGCAGCAGGATGGACCAAGCTGGGAGGTGAGCTCTGTTGCCTGCGCACCCGCGGCTGAGAAGAAACCCTGTAGGAGGAGGAGAGGGAGGCCGGGGAGGTCCGAGGAACTTGCTCAGGCTGCACAGCCTACTTGGTGGAGCTGCTGGGATTCTGTTTGGCAGTCCCAGAAACTTGCCCCATTGTGGTGTGTGCGGTGCTCCTCAGTGCTCTTCCTTCTGGTTGGAGGATAATCCCCTTAACGGACGAAAGAGAGGAAGTTGGGATGCTCCTCATTTCGGACACTTTTGCAGATTTACCTGAGAAAAATTCTTCCCTTTCAAAATTCTTGAGATGACATTTATGAATAAAATATTCTACAAGGTAGTATTGTACATACCAAAGAAACAATGTTTCAAGGAGATAAAAGTATTTTAGTTTTCATTTAGGTTAGAGAAATAAGATTATTTCATAAGACATTGCATTAGAATGTAAGTTTTTTGAAGTCAGGGACCTTTGTCTTGCTTACTGCTTTGTTCCTAGAGTCCAGAGCACAGCTTCAGTAAGCTCCTTCTTTTGATTGTCCTCCTTTGTTTATTCTTTGCCTACTCTTCCACTATCTCCAAGGTTCTTTCCTATGTCTTCTTACATTACTGCTTTCTGATTTTTTTCTGAGTAGCATCATCCATCTCTAAAAGAGAAGCCTATCACTTTTTTTCTTTTCTAAGTTTTGTGGCAAGGTCTCACAGAGTTCAGGCTGGTCTGGAACTCACTACGTAGCCTGCACTGGCCTCAAACTTGCTGCGATCCTCCTGCCTCACCCTTCCAAGTACTGGCATTACAGGTGTGTACCACCATGCCTGGTATGGATAAGCATATCTTAATTTAGTGATTTAAATAAGCGTTCATTTTATTTGTAAAAGTGTTCTAAAATAATATAAAGGTGTTTTGTTCTGGGGCTTGTAAGACCAGTGTGAGTACCAGCTTTTTTGTTACTGAAGGAATGATATTGAGCAAATGGTTTGCCCTTTAAGTGTTTCATTATGAAGGAGGTTGATCTAGATTAAGATTGAAAACTCAAAATATTTATAGGGGCCAGACAGACAATGTGAATGAGTGAAGTGAGCTGGACATCATATCATAAGGAGCTGTAGAGACTTTTTTTTTTTTTTTTTTTGGTTGAACCGGGGATTGAACTCAGGCCATTGTACTTGCCAGGCAAGTGTTTATTCTACTGAGCCATATCCCTGGCCCCAGAGACTTTCTTATAGTTTATTCTCTGTTAAAGGACTTCTTCCTAACCTTTAATGAGAATTCACAGTTATGAATGACTATGGCCAAAGACAGGGACTTGTGTTACTTTAGCCTGATAGTTCTTGAAGTTGGCTTCCCTTGACAATTACCTGAGGAATATTTTTAAAAACACTGATATTTAGATCTGCTCTCAGAGATAGGATTTGCTTTGAAAAAAACCCCCAAAGCTTCCCAGGTGTTTCTAATGAGCAGCTGGGTTTTAGAATGATTAATTGGACTCTTGATTAGGGTAGTTTCCACTCTTGTCTTTTAGAAACAAGCAAATACTTGTTTTGCAACAGGCAACACAATGATCATGGATAGCCTCAGCTCTCAGACAAATAAGTTTTTTCTCTTTTGTTACTTGAGCTTTAATGAAAGTTATTATTGGGACTGACCACTGGGGAACAATTTAGATTCCAAGTCACACTATAAGACAGAGTTTAAATTGTATTCCTTATACCAAGCTGTCCCTATTTATTACAATACATTTTGATTTGACCCAAACTTCACTTTTATTTCCCATTACATCTGTGATTCTATTTAATAGTTTCCAGCATGTTTTCTGAGTCTATGGCAGTTGCAGCTGCTGAGGGGTTAGTTTTCATTATGTGCATATAGAAGTTTTCTTGTAAGCCAGTCTTCCTATTTATTTACTTATTTGGTACTGGGAATTGAACTCAAGACCTCTTGCTTGCTAGATTGGTGCTTTGCCTCTGAGCTATATCCCTGGCCTGCCAGTATTTCTTTAAATGCCCTTTCTTGGAAAGCATGTAAACTAAAATTAGAGACTTTTTACCTCTAATGGAGACTGGGAGCTTTTTGTATGTTTTAGAATGATTTTTCTAAGATGTGAATTGAAAACAAGAACTCTGCCTTTTTTTGCTTAGATTGTCAGATCTGCTTTTGGTAGTATCCTGATATTTTTGGCAGAATTAATATTTTGCTATTCAGAATAAGATTTCTATCTTATCCCTTCTTTTCGTGATCATTTTCTTCCCTCCTTCTGTCAGTGTTTGCTTTCACAACCAAAGTTCTGGGCCATTCAGACGTCAGCCTTGATCCTGCGGACAAAACTGGAGCGAGGAAGCACACGCCGAGTGGAGCGGGCAATGAGACAGACGCAGGTAGGAATCAGTGTGACAGTCTTACTGCTCTTCCAGATGCGTATTGTGTGGGCATGCCTGCATGTGACGAATGAGGGAATCAGATGGCTCGTGTCTTATGCAAGCACTGCTGTTATATACAGTCTAGGTTCTAGAGTTAAACTGGCGCTTAACGTCAGCTTTGTTGCTTTGAAATTCTGAGCCCTCAGTACCAAACTTTGGTACGCCTCATTTTTTTAAAAATTTATTTATTTTATTTATTTATGTGTGTGTGTGTGTGTGTGTGTGTGGCCAGCTCAGCCCGCCTGAGGGCGGGGCTGGCTGGCATGTGGTGCTGGGGGATTGAACCACGGTCCCTGTGCTTTGCTAAGCTTGTTCTAAGTAGGTGCTTTAGACCACTGAGCCATCTCACCAGCCCCAAGTAAGCCTCATTTTTATCATATGTAGAAAAAAGTAAAAATAGGAAACTTACAAGTTTATGGTGAGCCTTAAAAGAGGCAGTGTTAGAGTTAATGTACAAAAAATATGAATGTCAAAAATTTAGTTTGTAAGTCAAGCATGGTGGTGCATGCCTATAATCCCAGGATTTGGGAGGCTGAGGGAAGAGGATTGCTGGGAGTTCAAGGTCAGACAGGTCCTCACTGGGCTATATAGTGAGAGCATGTATGTGGAAGGATTCAGTTTGTTTAAGGAAACAAAATAAAATGCATCTTCTAATACAGAAATATTTAAATGTAAAATAAATAAAATTGATCCATAGTCATCGTTCTCTGTTTAATATTGTTTTATTCCTATCCAGTGTGTAAGCTGCATTTAGTCTCTAAACCACACAAAATACAAATTTATTAACAAGAAAAATAGAAAACCTTTCAGTGTGTTTAGGAGTTCATAAAACCAATGTCTCAGTCCATTTGTATTGTGGTAAAATACTTGAGACTAGGTAATGTGTAGAAGAAAGAAATTTATTTTGCAGTTTTGGAGGCTGGGAAGTCAAATTCAAGTCAGGTTCTTTGCTAGTTCAGGCTGCTCTTTTTAGATGGTGCTGTGTAGTTGTCCCCACATAGCAGAAGGCCAAAACCTATTTTCACAAACCCTTGTGCAAAGATGTATGTAATTCCATTCACAAGAGCTGTACCTTCATGAACTAATCCTCTTAGTACTTTCATACTAGTCATTAACTTTTTTTTTTTTTAATTTTTAGAGAAGGGTCTACAGGGTGTTCAGGGTCTCACTACTAGATCAGACTCAGTGATCTGCCTATTTACAGCCTCCCAAGAGCTGGGATTACAGGTGTGTGCTACCACACCCAGTCTCAATTGCTGCCTTAGCATGCCTGGGGTTGGGGCCCAGGGGCAGGGCTGGCCCCTGGGCCTGCTTGCATTCATTAACTTTCAATGTAAGAATTTTGGGGGATACATTCTAACCATAATGGTCAATGAAAATGTTATTTAAAATTATTTTTTTGAAACATTTTCAAATTTATGTGAAAGCTGCCTGAGAATGTACAAAAACTCTAATATTGCCTCCACCAATTATGTCCTAAAAATGTCCCTTTTATGTCAGTAGGATCCAGCCACAAAAATTAGCTGTTTTGTTCTTAGTCTCCTTTAATTTGGAATGGTTTTCTACTCCCCTTTGACCTTTATGGGTTTAGTGTTTTTGAAGATTAGTGATTAACTATTTTGTTGACTGCATTTGTCTGATGTTTCCTTGTGGACTGATGCAGATTTTACCATTCTGACCGTAATATTGAAGAAATGGATTTGTAGCTGAATGTGCTGAGGTGGGGCCTGGTTGAAAGTGGGTCTCTGGGGGTGTTACCTGGAAGTATGTATTTTTTCCCCTTATTTTATTTTATTTTATTTTATTTTATTTTATTTTTTTAGTAGTACATGTTTGCAGTACATAATGATTATGTTCCTTGTGAGGAAATGGTGCATGTATGTAACACATTTTAAAATTTTTATTATCCCTGGAAGGGTGTATTCTTGTTCCTGACTATTCCTTTCTTTCTGTGCTTCCTGGTGCCATGGGTTGAGCAACTTTTCCATTGCTTTGCCTGATGGAATCATGTTTTTGCCTTGTAAGCCAAAGTAAATTTCTCTTAGGTGTTGAGTATTTTGTCCCAGTGATGGTAAAGTGGCTAAGGTACTTCCCCTCGGTGTGAGCTGGACTCAGATGCCTTCCACTTAGAGAATATGGAAAGGGAAAGGAGGTAAATTGACAGTGGAGGACATTGCCTTGACCTAGTGGATCAAAGTTTAACATCACTGCAGTTAAGTCTGTTGGTTCCGTGAGCCTTCTGATAGGAGATGGTGAGAAGAGTGTCTTAGCATCATTCTTCTTCTAAACCCATAACCTTGTTTAATTATGGGAAAACATTAGGACAAACCCAATTGAGAAAGATCGCACAAAAATACTGACTGCTCTGTTCAAAACCATTGAGGTCATGGAAAACAAGGGCTAGGAAACTCACAGGTAAGAGACACGAAGATATGATGTATGATATCCTTGATCGGATCCTGGACCAGAAAAAAAGAACATCAGTGGAAAAGCTGACAAGCTCCAGATAAAAATATGTAGTTTAATTAATAGTTACACATCATGTATTAGTTTTTTTTTCCAGTTTTCATTTATTTTTATCTTCTTATTCCAATAAATTCCCTACGTATTTTTAAAAACTGCACTAGACCATGTGTCAATTAGACAATTACAGCTTTTCAGTGAGTTCAGCGGCCTCTCGAGGGTACGTAGATGAGCGTGCATTCAGGAAGGCAGATATTGACTGGTACACCCACAAACCCCTCTGGTGCTTCTCTGTTACAGGACACAGTCAGGGTAAGGTGCCCTTGAACGCATCAGAGAAATAACCATTGCATCAAGATTCTGGGGTCGATGTGTGTCTGCAATTTGAAGTGAGTGGCTGACTGGTCGGGAGAACAGGAGTTAAGGGTACTCAAGGAAGTTGGCGGGTGCCAGTCCACCCTAGGAGTCTGTGAGGAGGCGCTGTGCTCTTTCTCCAGTCCATGTCAACCGGACCTGGGCTAGGACTGGATCATGTGTTAGTTTTGAAAAATAATCATATGTCAGCCCATTCAGAGAGCCCAAGGGAGAGTTTTGCTAGTGAGATACTCAGGTTAAAAAATACACATGTACAAGACATCAGAAACAGCAGCAGGCAACATGGAACAAAACAGAGCGCAAGAGCCACCTGCATCTTTATTATATAATTCTTATACTTCTTGTTACCACCTGTTTGGATTCTTACATGCTGGCCACACTGGCACATGTGTAGTTGTCCATTACTAAGTCATGGTTATATAATCGTGCCCCATTGTGCCCCTGTGCTGAAATGGGGTTGTGTCTTCAAGGCTGTACTGAAGCATCTTTACATGCCTCCAGCTTTGATTCAGTCTGTACTGTTCCCACATCTCACCCTCTCAAAGGTCAGGGAAGAGTCATTTCTTACAAGTGGCCCATAAAGCTGACCCCCTCACACAAAGACTGCAACAACAATACAGGGACAATAGATTACTACCAACCTCATTGCTATCATAGTGCAGTTTGTGGTTATCCAGTGTCTGGTGCATTCCAAGGATTCCTACCATTGGGTAAGGGAGTCCTGCTGCAGGGCCTGGATGGTGGATACCTCCTCATCTCTCTCTCACAAAGCTTTTTGTATCTCTGTCTGGTGGTCCAGGATATAAACTAACATTCTACATGTATGAGGGCACAAGTGTCTCTGTCTTGCAGTCAGTAAATCAAGAACCATGAGGTTTTGCAAAATCTTCTTTCTCATTTGAGAAGTGTCAGCAACATCAAATCCTGACATACAGCAATCAAGGTCTGATCCCTGTGTTGAATAAGGGCTTCAACTTGGAGGGCTAGGTATATGGTCCTTGCCCCTGGCAGCGTCCAGGCCATTGTATAAAACCACCACAGAATGGTGTGTCATTAGCGGCTGTAATAGCAGCCCAGCTCTACCTGGTATTAATGACACCAGTCCATTAAGGCACTAATCCAGAAGAGCACATCTACCCTACAGGGACGAGATAAAGTGTCCCAGTTGTGGGGTGTCTGTAAGGGCTGATCTGATAGTGTCCTTAACATGGAAATTCCTAGGTGCAGTGTCCTGTCCAGTGTGCAACTAGGTACAGCCAACCTGTGGTGCTGCAAGCCCATAATACTTCCACAGAGGGCCAGGTGGTAGGCACCATACCTATGAACTTATGGCTGTCCCACCGCTTGTTTGTATCATTTACCAGTAACGCCCGGTTACACAGGTTAGGGGGCATCCACCCTGCTGTTTTGACTTCCAGCTGACATACTCCCTTGTTGGATACAAAACAAGGCTACATCCAACAATGTTATGGAAGTTCCCATCATCCATCCCCAGGCATTGTACATAATGGGTCGCAGTCCCTGTAGGGTAGATGTGCTCTCCTGGATTAGTGCCTTGATGAACTGGTGTCATTAATGCCAGGTAGAGCTGGGCAGCTATTACAGCTGCTAGTCAGTCCAGTTGAGTAGGGATGCTGGTACAGTCCTTCATGGGAGGCCCTCAGCTGCCTCACTCAGGAGTTCAGCACATACCCAACAGTGTAAACATGTGTACCCATGTGATGATGCTGTTAACATGGCTGATCTCACCATTGCTGTGGTGGGTGGGGTTCTCGTGGTGTCATGCCAAATGTTGTGGGCACCCTCCTCCTCCAGGGGGCCAAATGAGCACACTGGGAACACACCTTTATTGTAGCCTTTGATTCAGCAGGAGTCAGGTCCAGATGCCATTTTTGTGCTTCAGCTTGCATGGTATTATGTCCCTCAAATTCTAGTTTTGGTAGCCCTCAGAGAGTGGCTACCTTTGTCAAGGTGTGAGCTAAGGCATTTCCTAAGGAGAAGAAAGGCCTCTGTCCTAACGCTAATCCTAACCCTAACCCTAACACTAATGCTAACCCTCACTAACCCTACATGGTTAGTGTCTTGACCATGATCCTGTAAGTCTCATAATAAGTTGGCAC